TGCCGCCGAGCCGCCTGCAGGGGAGCTGGTGACTCGCTGAGGGAGGCGGCCGCGAGAGCAGAGAGAAGGCGGGCTGGAAAATGTAAAGAAGGCAGCCGACTGCGCCGGCTGGACCCCAGGCGACGGGCGAGGGGGCGTCTGGACCGTAATCAACCATGAGAGGCTCGATCCGCCCCCAAACTGTTGCTGGGGAGAGCGGAGCTCTGAGATGTCCGGGAACCGAGAGGTGGCAGAGAGGTTAGGGAGGGCGTGACAGCAGTGGACAGCGGGTAGCGAGCAGAGCTCCAGAGCCGCGGGGACTTCTCCTTCCTTGGAGCGCGGGTGTCCGTGTGGAGGAACGAGGTGGCCTTGGTGTCTGTCCGAAGTATCTGGAACCAGGAGCCAGGCTCCTCCCGGACCGGCAGAGGTCTGTCCGCAGACTAGGATGGGACATTTGGGGTGGGGGATGGGCCGGCCTCGATCCCATCCTGGGGACTCTGGGAGTGGGGAGCGGAATCGGGAGACAGCAGCACCCAGGGTTAGCCAGCCACAGGTGGTCCGTCTGTCTTGCCGCGAAGGGCGCCACAGGCTCTGGCTGCCTAGCCGGCGAGGAGCTGCGGGTGATGGGGCTCAGCTGAGAAGCTAAAGGTGCTAGAGACTCGACCCTGGGGGCGGGCCTAGGGGTGTTGCTGTGCTCCTCCCCCACCCCCGTCCCTGTCCTTCCTCCCCCACCAAACGAACAGGAAGGAAAATGTCAGCTGTGCTTTGTGCTCTGTTCCTCAGCCTGCCGCAGCTCCCATCTGTTGGAGCCAACGCAGTTTCTAATGGCAGGGTCGGGAGGGGGTGGACCGGGCGCAGCACTCAGTGGCAGAGATGGACCGGACAAGCGCTCTTCTTGAAGACCCCGGGAGGTTGGTGTTAGAGAGAACAGCCTCCCCTGGTCAGAAGCGTAGAGGTGGCTCCCTGCCAGCTTAGTCACAATCATCAGGGACTCTGGGTCTTTCCAAGCACCCAGACTCAAGGCAGCGTCCGTCTTCCCTGCCAGCCGGGGATGGGCTCTAGCCCAGTGTCCTCTTCCTGCAGGAGAAGGCCGGGGTCCCCTCCCACTGCCTACCGCTCCTTAAAGATCCCTCCAACAAAGAATGCTGGACATGGGGTGGGCAAGGCTGTGTGCAGGGCACTGAGACCCCTTTGCCTGTGGGCCCTGTTGTTATCAGAAAAAAAGTCTCATGTGGGTGGCCTGACCCATTTCCCTGGCTGGCCTAGGTGCCCTTGTGGGGAAATGGAAAGAGAAGGGCACAAGCAGGGGTCTGAGCCTTCTAGGCCCTTTGCCTTCCCCTGAACTGGCTCACACAGAGTCTCCTTCTTCCTGCCCAGGGGGTCCCTCTGGACCTGGGATGGGATGTCATTATTTGGGAAGGATGGAACTAAAGGACTGGGTGCTCCAGGGATTGAGACAAGCCCAGGGTCTGGCATACACCCTGTATCTAGGAGCACCCCCAAATCCACACCTTCCCCCTGGCACGGACTAACCTGAAGGAGGTACTAAATGGCAGTGGGAACCCAGAGGTCTACTAGGACAAATTCCACCCCGGCTGAGACAGCAGTTTCCTCTGTAACTCTCCACTCCCCATTTTTTTACCCCCTGTGCCTCCCTCCTTCCTCCCCCTCTCCTATGCTCTCCTTCACTCTTCACTCTCTTTCCTCAAGCATCCATCATCTCCCTTTCTCCTCACAGGGCTCTCCTCCTCCTTCACCCTCCTCCTTCTCCCCAAGACTTCTCCCTCCCCCACTCCCAAGTGTCTGTCTGCACCTTTGCCCCCCTGCTCTTCCATCAAACAGCAGCTCTGGCCACAGCCAGGCATGTGCTCTGTGCTCCAGAACACCTGGACAGTGGGAACACACGTGCCGTTGGCTTTGCTGCGTCGCTTTTGCAGAGGAGGAGCTGGTGGTCCTGACAGCTGCATTTCCCTGGCATGTCTTCTGTACCCTGCCACTTGCCTCTCCTACCTACCCCCTTCCTTATTATTTGAAAGGAAAAAGAAAATCCATTGCTTTTTGGAAAATTCCTTCATTCAACAATTTATTGAGCACCTACTGTGTACTTGCCATTATTTTTGGAGCTGAGGATACAGCAATAAAACAAACCTCCATGTCTCAGGGCAGAACTGAACTTGTACCTGGACTTCCTAGCTGATTAGTTCTGTGCCCATCAAGTTCTTTCAAAGATCCACTGCTTGTGGGGGAGTGTGAACAATCCTAGTGAATTGTCATCGTTGTCACACTGAGTGACCTCTAACATGACAGGCCCATCTCCTTATGGTATAGCAGGTATCATAAAGCTTACAGACCTAGGGCCATCCCGCCCTTAAGATATATTCTGACCTGAAAAGGATGGGCCAGTTCTCTGGAAAGGCTGAGTAGAAATTCAGAGCTTTAAACAAAGGAAGGAGAAAGACAAATTTGTTACTAAGTGCATACTAAACCCCAGTCTGTCAGGAAGTTTACAAAATTTATTCAACCCTCCTGACAACCTTCTAAGGTCTGGATTATAATCCCTTGCTTTATAGCTGTGGAAATTGAGGACCAGAGAGGACCAGAGACGATCAGCCACTTGCCTCAGGTCACATAGGTCTCTGTTTTGAAATCACTGATTGTCTGCAGTTCCGAAATCACTGACTGTCGGCAGTTCCTTTGGCCCCTATGATGTCTGTGACATCTGGTAAGTTGTTGTACAGTTATCTGAAGATTACATTTTAATTGAATTTTTCAGGAGAGTGCTTTGTTCCCTCAGAATATGGGCACATATAAAGATTTGCTGAATGCTGGCATGAATAAACTTTCTCAAGTGATCAGGGAAGGCTTCATGGAGGAGTTGGGACCCTGAGAGAGGGGGCAGGGAGGGTATGGGTCTTTCTGATACTATTCAGATGTGTGCCAAGCTGTAGGTAGGCAACTCCTGCTCCATACCACCACCCTGCATCCAAGTAGAGTTGATGGGAAATTGTTGTTTTCGTTAAGGGTCAGCGGGTAGAAGCTTGGTCCATGGCCAGGCTAATGAGTCAATGCCACTGGTGTTCTCAGCCTCCTTGGCCAAGCCTGGACTCTATAAAAGCTCCAAGGCAAAGAGTGGGGGTGGGAGGCTTTCGAGCCTGCGAGAATTACAGAGAAGGGCAAAGATAATGGACAGAGGCTAAATGGGGCAGGAAAGAGGGAGAGTGACCAGGAACAGAAGGGGAGGAGGACGAAGGTAGAAGATAAACTGAAAAACAAAAAACAAAGCAAGACACGTGAGAAAAGACACAACCAGACAGGACAGAGCACAGTGCAGTGGAATTGCTACGAGAGGGTGCATGATAAGGATGCCTTTATCTTCTGCTTCCCCCAAAGCCTTGGTCTGTCCATCCCACAACTCGGAGGCTGGAATAGCCACCAGGTTAACCGTATGCAGGCATTTGCTTACTCAACCAGTCCATCTTTTCTAAGCACCCACTGTTTGCTCAGACCTGTGTTAGGCGCTATAGACAAAGACAGATCAGGTGTTGCCCCCGCCTTCCAGGACTTCACAGTAAGAATACGGATTTTGGAGCCGCAGCTGGGGGTTGAATCCCGGCTCCACTGCTTCTAGCTGAGTGACATTGGGCAAGTCATCTAACCTCTTTGTGCCTCAGTTTCCTCCTGCATAAATGGGATAATAATAGTGCCTACTTCTTAGAGTTGTTATGAAGATTAAATGAGTTAATACATGTAACGAGCTTAGTGCAGTGCCTGGCAAAGTAAGTATATTATTATTATTATTCAATAGGAGAGTCAGTCTTACAATAATGAAACAAGTGCTATAATACAGGGATGAGCAGATAAAGGGGTGACGGTCTCTGTCTGCAGATTAAGAAATGGTTCTGAAAGCATGTGATATTTGGGCTAGGGCTTGAAAAGGAGTCAATCGGGCGGAGATGGTGGGCCTGGGGGCACTGGTGCCAAGGGTATTGGGCACAGGGATTGTGTATGAAAAATTGCCGTGTTGTGTATATGTCGCCTTCTGTGGATATCAGTAACACCTTGGACATGTCTCACTTCAGCTTCTTTGTTTCCAATGCTCAGAGCTGAGCTTCCAGTCAGCTGACAGGTCTCCCAGAATGTCCCCATATTCTCTGGCCTGAAACAGCCTTTGGGCAGGGGACCTGGCGCATCTTTGCTGGGACTGGTTTCATGACCATGACTTCCTTAATGTCCTAAGCCACCATCAAGCAGTCTCTGCTCCAAACCCAGAGCTGCCACAGCCCTTGTCCTCTGGCTTCTTTCACTTCCTGGGGACCCAAGAGACACCTTGGGTCCCCAGGAAGTGAAAGAAGCCAGAGGACAAGTGCCTATTGGTTCGAGGGAGGTACCTATTAGGTGAGTCAAACCAAGTCTGCCTTGGAATTCAGTTTTTCTCTGTACATTTCTGTCACCTACACCTTCCCTGCTGCTCAGCATTTAATGGACTTGAAGTGAGTTCCAAGATGAAGAGCAGGCAGAGGGTTCCTGGGGCAATAACCATTTCTCAGTCTCTACCTCCCGCATTGTAATGGCACTAATCATAGCAACTAGTATTTATTGAGCACTTACTATGTTCGGGGCACTGTACCAAGTGCTTTACCTACATTATCACATTAAATCTTCAAAATTTTCCCTCTTAGGTAGGTACTCATTATCTCTAATTTAAACTTGAGGAAACCGAGACTCAGAGAGGTTCCGTAACTTACTCAAAGACATATAGCTAGAAAAAAATTTGACCTTCCTTCTGACCCGAGGGTTCCTGCTTTTTAACCACCCCCAGAATCTAGCGGTCCCTGGGCCTGGAGGGTGCTCTGGGGTCATCTAGCCCATTCTCCTCCCTCCCTACAGTCAGAAGCTCCCCAAGTACTGTCCAAGTCATGTCCAAGCCAGGGTTCTGTCCCCTTTTGGGGACCTTCAGAGAGGGTGTCCCCTCTTCCTCCTGCTCCCACAGGTCACAGCTCCTCAAAAGCCAACTCTGTTTCCATCTGCTTCAACTAAGTGCTTCGGGGGCCACATGGAGCCAGTGGCCTCAGAGAAGCTGGACCCTAAGAGTCAGTCCCCATGATCACAGTGGTGGACCCAATGCAGCAGTGACTTCTGGGAGATGTGAGGATGGGCACGGACCCCAGATTCAGCACATTAGGTGGGGATGGTTTGGGATTGGTGCAGTGGGGTGTCTCTAACAAGGCAGCCTCATGTGTCTTGGGAAGAACAAGTCCAATCATTCATATTTACAAACACACAAGGCAGATCCTTCAGGAAAAAACATATAGAAGAGGAGGCAGTGATTGTTAGGCAACCAGTGTGGGTCCCGCAGGAAAAGTGGGTCTGTCTTACCTGATCCTTTCAGCGGGGAAGAAAAAGGAGGAAGAGAGAAGAAAGGCAGGAGAGGTTATGTTCCTCTACAGTGTTCTCAAAAGGAGCGTTCAAAGGCAGGTGATGAAAGTGTCTGTCTGTGGCCTAGGAGGGCAGAGGTGGCGATGCCAGGAGATGGAGCGACCACAGAGGGGCAGCTGGTGGGCAAGCTAGAAATTTAAAAGCTGTGCATGGGGGTAGGTAGAAGTCACCCCACCCCTCCATCTTCCACTTCCGGACAGACCTCCCAGTGGGATGAAGGTAGCTGGGGCTCACACAGCTCCAGGCCCCTGAACTTCAGAAGATCCTTCTCCAGAGTCAGCCCAGGGGTGGAAAGGTGGAATCCCGCACCTGGAGGGGAGCCACAGAATTCTCCTGTCCATCGCGCATCTCTGAGCAGAAACACGCCTCAGCCACATCCGACACAGGGTGGGACTGGAGTCCCTTCTTTCAGCAAATATTTCTTAACATCTGTTCCCGGCTTGGGGGTATAGAAAGCAGCGAGCAACAAGCAATCAGAGATTTCTGCCTTCAAGGAGCTTATACTTGATTGTATGGGGAGACGGTAACATAAATGGCAAGTGCTAGAAAGATTAAGTAATGGAGGGATAGGAGAGGGTGTGTTAAAAAGAGCAGAGTTGGTCATTTTGCACAGGGTGGCCCAGGGAGACCTTGCTGCAAAGGTGACATGTGAGTAACGACGAAGCGCCTGCGAGGTGGCAAGGGCACGGGGGGCAGAGGGAAGAGCAGAAGCAAGGGCTCGGGGGCCGGGCTGTGCCTGGCGGGTCTGAGGAGCACCGAGAAGGCCAGATCTTGGAGAGCCCTGAAACTGTGGTGAGGAGTTTGGTCTTTCCTCGGAGTGAGATGGAGAGCTTTGGCGGGGTTTAGGGAAGAGGGTGACAATGACTTGACCCTTTAAAAACTCCAGGATTTTGGCTAATTCAGTTTCACCAGGTGGTTCGTCAGGATGTTCTCCAGCCGTTGAAGCTGATTTGATCAATTATTGCTCACCCCCCAAGTACTTTTTGAGCTCTGTCCTAAGTGATGTGGGGTGAGGTGAGGAGAATATAAAGACACGTAAGTCACAATCTTTGCTGGTACAGAAACCTACAGATCCGTTGGGGAGGCAAAACTTATACTCCTAAGAAATAACGAGGGAATAATACCAGACAGTATTTAAAACCAAGTGCTAAACTGTGTGACTTAGACTATAAATGTTATCAGAACTGAGAGGTCTGTGTGGGAGTACATAGGGAATGCTGCCTTGAGGAGATGCGGCTGATGGGGGCCTGGAAAGCGGGGTGGGGTTTGGATCTGCAGAGGGGAGAATTCTCGAGAGGGG